TTGTATTGTATTGTATTGTATTGTATTGTATTGTATTGTATTGTATTGTATTGTATTGTATTGTATTGTATTGTATTGTATTGTATTGTATTGTATTGTATTGTATTGTATTGTATTGTATTGTATTGTATTGTATTGTATTGTATTGTATTGTATTGTATTGTATTGTATTGTATTGTATTGTATTGTATTGTATTGTATTGTATTGTACTCCCTCCGTCCCATAATGTTTGGGACAAAGGAGTGTGGCACAAATTTTAAGAAAAAGTGGAATTGTGTGGTGGGTGTTGAGTTGATAAAGTGTGAATAAAGTAAGAATGAATTGTAACCACCCAAATATTTCCAAAAATAGTATGGGACAAACAAATTGGGACACCCCAAAATGGTAAACTGGGACAAACATAAGGGGACGGAGGGAGTATTGTATTGTATTGTATTGTATTGTATTGTATTGTATTGTATTGTATTGTATTGTATTGTATTGTATTGTATTGTATTGTATTGTATTGTATTGTATTGTATTGTATTGTATTGTATTGTATTGTATTGTATTGTATTGTATTGTATTGTATTGTATTGTATTGTATTGTATTTGTATTGTATTGTATTGTATTGTATTGTATTGTATTGTATTGTATTGTATTGTATTGTATTGTATTGTATTGTATTGTATTGTATTGTATTGTATTGTATTGTATTGTATTGTATTGTATTGTATTGTATTGTATTGTATTGTATTGTATTGTATTGTATTGTATTGTATTGTATTGTATTGTATTGTATTGTATTGTATTGTATTGTATTGTATTGTATTGTATTGTATTGTATTGTATTGTATTGTATTGTATTGTATTGTATTGTATTGTATTGTATTGTATTGTATTGTATTGTATTGTATTATATTGTATTATATTATATTATATTATATTATATTGCATTATATTCGATTGCATTCGATTGCATTCTATTGCATTCTATTGCATTCTATTGCATTCTATTGCATTCTATTGCATTCTATTGCATTCTATTGCATTATATTACATTATATTACATTATATTACATTATATTACATTATATTACATTATATTACATTATATTACATTATATTACATTATATTACATTATATTATATTATATTATATTATATTATATTATATTATATTATATTATATTATATTATATTATATTATATTATATTATATTATATTATATTATATTATATTATATTATATTATATTATATTATATTATATTATATTATATTATATTATATTATATTATATTATATTATATTATATTATATTATATTATATTATATTATATTATATTATATTATATTATATTATATTATATTATATTATATTATATTATATTATATTATATTATATTATATTATATTATATTATATTATATTATATTATATTATATTATATCATATTATATCATATTATATCATATTATATCATATTATATCATATTACATCATATTACATTATATTACATTATATTACATTATATTACATTATATTACATTATATTACATTATATTACATTATATTACATTATATTACATTATATTACATTATATTACATTATATTACATTATATTACATTATATTATATTATATTATATTATATTATATTATATTATATTATATTATATTATATTATATTATATTATATTATATTATATTATATTATATTATATTATATTATATTATATTATATATATTATATTATATTATATTATATTATATTATATTATATTATATTATATTATATTATATTATATTATATTATTATAATATAATAATAATTTTATATTCTTAACATTATTATTATATTATTATTAATAATATTATTATATTGATATATTAATATTATTAACAATAACTATAATATAATAATCATAATTAATATAATAATAAAAGTGATAAATCATGTTTGAATTTTTTGATCTGATCTGATCTGAATGTTTCTGATCTGATCTGAATGTTTCTGATCTGGTCTGATCTGGTCTGAATCTTTCTGATCTGATCTGAATGTTGCTGATCTGATCTGAATCTTTCTGATCTAATCTGAATCTTTCTGATCTGATCTGATCTGATCTGAATCTTTCTGATCTGATCTGAATCTTTCTGATCTGATCTGATCTGATCTGAATAAAATAAGATTAAGGAATAAGTAATAATATTAAGACGAACGGAACAGCTTCATTTAGACTGACACATACGTCGAAAATGTACATTTGAATATGGACCGTACAATATTCTTTCCGTTTCATAAAATTCTTCAAATTTTCTTTTTGGGATTTTCTTTTTTGGGACGTCCCAAAAACTTCTTCTCACTTAATACTCCCTCCGTAACTTAAAAATCTTCTCACTTTCCTTTTTCGTCCGTAACAAAAAAATCTTCTCATTTCTAAATGTTCTCATCACACCCTCAATAATTCTTAAAATAATACACTATTACAACTACTTTTTTTTGGATTTATCCTACATTCCACCACATCATTCCACTATTTTCCCATCATACCCTCAATAATTCACATCATCTTTCACTATTCTTAATCTACCTACTTTTGAAATGGGAAGATTTTAAAGTTACGAAGGGAGTACATATTATTTTTGGATAATTTGTGTGGCAAACATTAATTTTACTTTTTTTGACACAACTAAAACAACACATTTTCACTTTACTCTCGCTTCTTTAGTTTGCGATCCAAATCAATGTGGGAAGTAATTATTGGGACAACGAGAGTATTTTTATCGCATATTGATTTATTTTTCTATGTATATTTCATGTGATGTTATAAACTACTTATAAATGCTTATCAGTCATAAAATTAATTTTTGTAAGAGATGACCCTTTTTTAGTGGTTGAAAAGGTGTAATTTTGGTAACATTTTTCATTTTAGTAGTCCTAGTTAAACAAATTATATTTTGTTTTATACAAGTTGTACTTCTCGTATTATTTTCATTTTCTTTTTCTAGAAAAATAGATCTCTTATAGGTAGATGTCAAAATAGGTCAAATACACTAAGGAGTAATAAATATATGAACTAAAATGAATTGAACTAGAGCCCATTTGGTAGCACGAAAATCAACTGATTTGGCTGATTATGCTGAAATATATGAAGTTCTGGCTGAAGTGCATTGGTTGATTCTGCTGATTTAAGAAAAAAATATTTTTTTTAATAAAATAAAGGAAAAACTATATGTAAAATAGCTAAAATGGTCATCTACAGTAACTTAAGCCAATACAGCCAGAAAAGTAACTTCAACCTTACTTTTTGGTTTATTACACAATTCAGCGGTCGAAAACAAAAGTTACGTGTTTGGTAAAAAAGTTGGCTGATAAGCCGAAAAACAGTGTTGTCAAATGGCCTCCTAATAGAATAAAATCATTTTCATTTTGATATTTCGAACTGCATCACGAGTCACACTTTTGTGAAAAGAACAAAAATTATCACAAGGTTAGCGACTCTATCATACCAATCAAGAAAAATACATTTGATATTTTTCAAAAAACAAGGATTCTTAAATTAATAGCATGAAACATATAAAAAACAACCATACCAATCAAGAAAAAACATTTTGATATTGTGCAAAAAACAATGATTCTTAAATTAATAGCATGAAACCTATAAAAGTGGAGTTAGAGGCTTCTTCAGTTTTATATGTTCGAGTGGGGTTGGAAGGCTTCGGCTTGTAATATAGTACAAAATCAGTGCAGAGGTATATGAAATATACTCTGTATAAGATACCGATGGAGTTTAATCTAACTACGAGAGCTAAATATACGTAAATTATAGAAATAATATCGAAAATAATATGACAGCGTAAGGCGGTATTACTCTTATTCCGGAATCACAATGGCCGATCCCTTGGTAGGGGGTTTACATCAACTATTTATAGAGATTAGGAAGTAGAATTATGGGAGGAATCTTATACAATAAATGTTCAATTAATGAACTATATTCTTGCTCGAAATAGAACTCCTTCGATGCTTGATTCTCACGCCACATCTGTTTCCTAGTTCCGGCCGAGTCCTGCCTATTGCCAAATATTTATCATCGAATGGTAGCTTGCCACGTAGTCCCTAGGAATATCCCGGCCTCACTAGAACTCCGCCCAGACTCGAGGTCTGCTGTCCAGCCTCCCGGCCTCACTAGAACTCCGCCCAGGCTCGAGGTCTGCTGTCCAGCCTGGCCTGACTGTGGGTTCCTGTCGTGGGCCTAATTCACAATGGGCCAAGCGGCTCATTCAATATAAATCCCATTTATGGGCTAATCCTGTTAATTAGGCTAATCCCATTAAGGGCTGATCCCGTTTATGGGCTAATCATGTTAATTAGACTGATCCCGTCAATGGCTGATCCCGTTTATGGGCTGGGTTACGTAATTGGACCATGGTTAGAATCCATGGTACCATACTAGCATCAGATACTTATCTCAATCGGATACACAAAGTAGTTATTTCCTCTAGTTATTAAGAAAAAACGAATTACTTTTTGTTATACATTATGGACTAAAAAGGTATCCCGGATCTTCAACATGCTGGCTTTCACATGATATGATGATACACAACGTTTTAATAGTTTTTGGCAGTTTTTATAATTTTAATGTTTTTATATTTCACGGTTTTTGGTATATGTCACAGTTTTTGGTTAAGCGGCTCTTAATTAACTGAAACTTTGAATGCTACAGCATGGTTAATGATATTTAATTATAGTAGCCGAAATCTCAGTCACCAAAAATTGATTAACCGTAAAGCAGTTAACCAACCATGCCCTCTATTAAACATGTGCATTCGTAGGTGTGGAACAAAAGGGAATTGGATGTATCTCGAGGCAATCCAAGAGCAGCAAATAGAGGAAGGAACGGTTTGAGATGCACGGAAATTGAATCCAAAGGTTTGTGAAAGACAGGCACCTACCTGGTTGCAAAGCCAGACGGAGAATCCCAATCCGAACAAAAGTATGTAGTAAAACCATATAGTGACGAAACTTAAAGCTGGCATTGCAAAATCAACTCAGCATAAAAATGGCGCTGTTTGGAATAAAAATTAGAATAATCATAGTAACTAAATGGTGAGTTCGGAAACAATAATGAATGTTCACTGAATAATGAATCCCATCTCACAATCTCAAATACCTCAGGTCAGCTCAATGTGAGGGGGTATTAAAACTTAAAAGGAAAGATAGCTATTATAGGGGTCAATGATACGTGCAGGGAGGGGTTGAAAATGAATCAGGCAATTGCAATATTTTCTCATATATATCCCAAATTATTTAACTTCTTCAATTGGGTAAATTTGAGAAAATTTTACCATTCTTGGAGCCTTTCTCAAACCCCTTCCCGCCATATATCATTATCCGCAAATAAAAGTCCCACTCGACCAACCTTTGACGTTTCCGACCACCATTCCTACTCCGCCTTGTACTTCGCAAGCTTTTTTTCTCTTCTCACCCTACTGCTACACCTACCCACAAACTTGAGGATTTCATCCACCAAAATCACAGGGAACGCAACCGCCAGCACGAGTAGCCACTCGTTCAGGCTAAGGGGCACGATCCCAAACACCCGAGCGAGGAACGGCACATAGAGAATCAAGAAGTGGAGCCCGAAGGAGACTGACATGGCCAAAAGAAGCCACGGGTTGACCCATGGCGGCATCGTCAAGAGACTCCCGTCCTCCGAAAGGGCATTTAGGGAATTGAACATCTCGATGAATACCAAAACAGAGAGTGACAGCGTTGTGGCTTTGATCTTCCCGCCTTGGAAGTAGTCGCACGGGTTGTCATCGAAACGGAAGACTTGTGGCCCTGCCGTAAATGGTGAGGCTGTGAAGTTTTTCCAAGAACTGCAACGACCCCAATTAGAGAGCTGGGAGTAGGTAACAAGACTGTGGCCATCCCCACTTAGGTCAATGCCTAGGAATGAGTTATGGGTGTACCAGACGATGAATACCCCTACAGTTGCTACACCAACATACATCCCAATAACCTGCACCATCGACATTTACATGAAAAAAACTTGTCAGATCTAATACTTTGTTTGGATCAGGATGAAAGATGCAGGAGAAATAAAGAGAAAATAAGTGCAAAATATGTCCTCCCTCGGTCCCTTATTAGTTAGCCATCTTTGACTTTTCCAGTCAATGATGCTAAATTTTGATCCATAGTATATTTATATACAAATGTATATTGATACATAGTATATTCTTTCCTAAAAATACTTTCATAAAAGTATAAAATTTACGGAGTATAACTTTCTCAAAAGTACATTAGTTAAAATGATTGACCAAAATTTACCATCATTGACTAGAAAAGTCAAAGATGGCTAACTAAAAAGTGAGAAGTAGTAGAATGTAAAGCCACGTTTGGGACTCAGAAATGCAAGGGAAAGCATATAAAGAAACTATAGGAGAAATTTGGAAGAAAAGGAAATCTGAGGAAAAAAAGCATTTGTTTAAAACTAAATAACATTATTCCATACTTTGTTTAAACTCATTTTAATACGTAGTATATAACTATATACAAATATTGGGTTCAAACATATGTAAAAAAACATTAATAATATTTTATTATTTGCATTTCCCAGGGTAGAGCAAAACACAAGAAAACAACTTTCAATAGCATTTTGTCAACTACGCAATTTTTGGGATCCGAACATACCATTAAGTTGTTAGGAATTAGGATGGAGACGTGGGAAAGATATGGAAGAGAAAGATTCCTTAGTTTATGTCTTTATTATGTGGATATATTGTCATGTAGACACATAAATAAAAACAGTAAATTTCTTTGGAAGAGATGCTTTTAGAATGGGGCCCGCATATATTTTCTATTCCAAACAATAAGGGAGATGGTTTTCTCCCCACTTCTTTCTTCCCTACTTTTTCCCTCCCAGAATCATGTTAACAAATCAATGACTCGGCCGCACAAATGCCATCAAAAGTATAGCAACAGTGTACCAGATAGCGGAACAAAATCCAAGCATTGATCAATGAATCATCACTTCTCCTTGGTGGTTTTTTCATTATATCTTTGTCTGGTGGATTAAAACCCAATGCTGTTGCCGGGGGCCCATCAGTGACCAGGTTGACCCACAGAAGTTGAACCGGTATCAGACCCTCGGGAATTCCTAAAGCAGCTGTAAGAAATATTGAAGCAACCTCACCAATGTTTGAAGAAATCATATACCTGCACATTTAGGAAACAAATCTGAGAACATGAAATTTATGAGAAGGTTCTTCAAGTTTTAAATTTCAACCCAACTTTTGAAATACACAAACCTCCTCTATAGTTGTAAAATTAAAAATCTTCTACCAAAGCATGAGGTTCTACTCCATCTGTTTTTTTCAACGTCTCTTTAGAGATTAAAAAAACGTTCTTAAATAACTATTGCCTTAGAACATGATTAAATCATCAATTGATCATTTTCTATCACTTATCTAATAGGAGCAGTCTAGTCATTTTAATATAAACTGTTACAATTTTTTTCCAAATACCAGCTTCTATGTTTTTTACTGATTTAAGGAAATATTTTAATGGTCAAAGTCGTTTGTTGACTAGCGTGAAAGTCAAACTATTGCAATTCAAGTAGAACAATGTATGCGCAAACACCTAAACGAGACAAACTTAAACAACAGAACTACAAAAGCAGACCTGATGAAGGCTTTCATGTTGTTGTATATGGACCTGCCTTCCCCAACAGCAGCAACAATTGTGCTAAAATTATCATCTGCCAGAACCATGTCAGAAGCTTCTTTTGCTACCTGAAGAGAGAGGTGGAGAAACGAAGAAGGAAAAAAGAAAAATGCAATTAATGACTGATTCGATAAGTTTCAAATTAAGCACCCAAAACAAGCATTTCCTAACAAAAACATAAATAATGGTCTTAGAATCATTTGAGAGATTAAGAATCAGAATTGACTAAAGATGTTACTAATTGGATTGCTTTTGCCAAATATTCATTGATACAGAAAGAACAGCCCTCATGCATGTTTATTTGAATCAGTTAACTTTTCACCTCAGTCCCTGTAATTCCCATTGCGATTCCAATATCAGCCAACTTTAGCGCAGGTGCATCATTAACCCCATCCCCAGTCATGGCAACCACCTCACCACATTCTTTGAGAATCCTGACTATCTCTTGTTTATGCCTTGGTTCTGCCCTAGAGATCACAAGCCCTCCACTTTGTCCTAAATGTGATTTTGGGTCAGCAAGTTCCATGAACTCTCTCCCGGTCAAGCTTCTAGAGGTAACACTCTCATGGGGTCCAAAAACACCAATTTCACGGCAAACTGTTTCAGCTGTATTCTTGTTATCTCCAGTTATAACTATAACGCGAATTCCAGCTTCTCTGCAATCCTCTATAGCTTGACGTACTTCTTTCCGTGGAGGATCCTAAAAAACGTTACACATTAAGGTTACATTTTGATCATGGACAATGCCAGGAATATGAAGAAGAACACATAAGGGAATTTAATTTTATTTTGTTTGCATGTACATCAGAAAATGCAAAGGAACATGAACTATGACTACGTTTTAATTATTTTCACTTTTTCACATATGTTTAAGTTCCTTAGTTTTTATATGAAATGAGTTTACAGTTTTGCAAGTCTGAAAAAAAAACTAATTTTGCTAACTCACCCTTATACCAGTCAAACCAACAAATATTAGATTACTCTCAATTGATGGATAATTGGCAGGATTAAGCAATAGCTCATGAGCTGGGTCGTCTTCTTTTCCTTCATATGTTTCAAATCCAGGTAAGTCATCCTTGTATGCAAAACCTAAAACACGTAATGCTTTGGAGGACATTTCACTAAGGCTTTGCAATATCAAATCCCTAGAACTGACATCTAGCTCTACAACAGAACCATCCAGCAATTGCACATACGAACTTCTGTCTAACAAATTTTCAACTGCACCCTGCAAAGGTGAAACCCAGACAAATGATATGTAAAACCATGATTAAAAATTGCACTAAGAAGGCTACGTTTCAAATTAGTTTTCTTTTATGAAAGGGTTCACCTTCTTTAGCAACAAAGAAGCAAAGGAGCCATAAATAAAGAAACTAAACAAATAGAGCATACCTTGACAAATAGTGACTTTTTCCCTGAGTTGGCGTGTACAATAACACCCATGGACTTCCTAGTCCTGTCAAACTCAAGAGTAGCAATCCGTTTCTCAATTTTGTTCCATGTAGAACAACAACCTTAGATTTAGCAAGTTGATTCAGTGTTTCTATATTAATGGTAAATAATTTAATGCATGAATATAATATAGTAATAACTTACAGGGTACACCACTGTTTAGTTTGGAAGAATCTATATCTAGGCCAATGGGAAGTCCCATTTTCTCAACCAGAACCTATATCACATAACAATTTTTCAATGATAGAGGTGAGTAACAACAACTACATTATAATACACGCTCACTTCGAAGTATCATAACTTGTAGCATAATTTGTACATTTGATTTGGCTCTCTAGATGAATTTCTATTTATCAATATTTATTAACGAATAAGTGCTTAAAGAATACCTGAACTTTGGGTATGGAATGTGTCAACAGTTAACAAAAACTAAAATAATCTTTCAAATAAGCGAAGACAAGGTCATTCGAGCAACATGAAGATATGTGATAAATACCGGTTTCATAATAAACAGCAGTTTACATAATAAAGAACAAAAAAACTGTCCCAACATTAAGAGAATTCTAATTATTACTCCCTCCGTCCCATTTTAATTAGTCATCTATGACTTTTTCAGTCAAAGATGCTAGACTTGACCGATAATATCTTTATATACGAAAGTATTTAAAATATGAAATTGATATGAACATATTCTTTGTTAAAAATACTATCATAAGAGTATACAATTTCACTAAAATATAGATGTTAAAATGATTAATCAAAGTTTACCATCATTGACCAGAAAAGTCAATGATGGCTAACTAAAAGGGGGCAGAGGTAGTACTTGATAAAGAATAAGAACCTCAATTATATGAAATTCTAATCACTACTTCATAAAGCGTAAGAATCGAATTTGCTTTCCTTTTTATAGTTTTAAGAGAATTGAAACAAATTAGTTTTATTACCTTTAATGCTGCCTCAGTAGGTAATCCCGTGGTCACATAACGCTCCCCTGATTTTTCAATGTTAGCATCATTACATACAGCAGCAATCTTTGCAACCATTTGAAGATTGGAATTCATATGCCCTAATGGCCAATCTTGGATTTTCCCTTCAAAAGGATCATATGTTGTCCCTTCAACGCTGAACGATTGCAGAGTGTTTGACTTTGAACCCATAGTAATCAGCTTAACCACTGACATCTGATTGGTAGTCAATGTACCTGTTTTATCCGAGCAAATAACAGTTGTACAACCAAGAGTTTCAACACTGGGCAACTTTCGGACAAGAGCATTCTTAGCAGCCATCTTACGTGTCCCAAGTGCCAAACATGTCGTAATAACAGCCGGTAAACCTTCGGGAATAGCAGCAACAGCCAAAGCAACAGCAATTTCGAAGTAATAAGTGCACTTCTCAAAGGAAAACTTGAAATTCCTTGGCCATCCATCAACAATCTCCCAAGAGAGAAAGTAATTCACATTAATCAGCCAAACTAGAACACAAACTACCCCAATAATAGCAGTTAACGCTTCTCCAAATTCATTGAGCTTTTTCTTTAACGGTGTATCTTCCTCACTCTGAGTTGCCTCACGAATCTGAGAGTGCACATGTCCTATCTCTGTGGCCATCCCTGTTTGAGTAACTAGACAAATACAATGTCCATTTACTACAGTTGTTCCAGAAAAGACCATGCATTTTTTCCCCTGGATATCAACTTCTTCTGGGACTACCTTAGTAGTCTTACTCACTGCTTCACTTTCTCCAGTCAATGACCCTTGCTCTAGACGGAGGGTAGAGCTAATTAAATGTATTACTCTCATGTCAGCAGGAACTTTATCCCCTACTTTCAACTCAACAATGTCCCCTGGAACAAGTTCCTTAGCTGGAAAGCCGGAAATCTTATTTCCCTCACGAATCACGGTTGCATGATCAGACTGAATCTCCTTCAATGCTTCCAATGCCTTCTCTGCATTGTTCTCTTGCCAAACGCCTACTATGGCATTAACAATCAGAATCAAGAAAATCACCAGAGGCTCCACAAAGGCAGTGATCTCCACTTCACCACCTTCATCTCCATCACACCAAGCCAAAATAAAAGATATGACAGCAGCAACAAGTAAAATCCTCACTAGCGTGTCATTGAACTGATCCAAAATCAATCTAAAAATCGTAGGTCCTTCATGTTTCTCAAATTCATTCGGACCATAGATCTGCCTACGCTTGTTAGCTTCATCGTGAGACAATCCCTTCTCCATGCTCACCTGGAGCTTGTCCAAACATTCCTTCACATCTTTAGACCAAGCAGGTAATAACACATCCGGACCTGCAACCATCCTGCTGCCAGAACTCCCGCTACTCCCGCTATCCTTCCCTCCTTTCCCCATGAGTCACTATACTATCCCAAAAAATTCCCTGCAATGTCCAAAATAACACCCGGAAGTTCAACTATTCAGCCAAAAAATTTAAAGATCTGATTGCAGCAGTTCTAGAGCTCATAAACTCCAACTAAACTAATTGAAAACATATTATCCCTACAGTTACCAGAAACTTCCACATTTACGATCAAGTACACAAAAAAAAATACATAATCAAGCAGTTAACCATACATGCGCACATAAACACACAAGGAAGATATCATACCAGAACAATGGAATAGTTGATAGGAGAGATTAATATCCGGCTGAGAGAATGAAAAACATATGAGATCTACGCTCTTCTTGTAAGAAAGCAATCGCTTCTTTCTTCGAACCTTCCCGTTTAGGGCAATGAAATTATTACTGCGTATAGTTTACAGTTTACTCCATTTTAGCAAAATACAATTAAGCTTAAATCAGAACTGCTTCGCTGAAGGACCCTTCCACGAAATGTGTCTCCCATGCGTACAGTTCGTACTATCCGACCAGTCCGTATCATTAACCAGTAAAATGCAGGACTGTCTCTCCCATACTTATACCATCATTCATAAAATAATTGAAAAAAAATTGTGCTTTTTTTTTTTAAAGAAAAAAAATTGTGTTTAAGATTTAAATAAAATAAATTGAAGTAATAAATACTATCACACATTTTTTGTCAAAAAGAGAAATGTCACATTCCCATTGGGACAACTCAAATTTAGAGTAAGACAATAAAAAAAATTGGACAACAAGAATAGTAACTAGTAATTTAACATATTGACGATTAATTATTACGAAGTAAATCGTATAAAAAAAATTGGACAACAAGAATAGTAACTAATAATTTAACATATTGACGATTAATTATTACGAAGTAAATCGTAAAATGTTTATAAGAATATAGATACAAAAAATATATGAATTTAACTTAAATTTTTATGGATTTTTTTATAAGTACATTAACTATTATTATTATATATAATCACTACTATTATTATTTTTAATATATATATAGGAAAATATTCATGTAAAGTAGGCCTAAGAGTTGAAATTTTAGGCCTCTTTCAATTGAGGGGCTTCTAGAACGATTTTTTTGATGAAATTTTGTGAGATTATTCTCCATGAAGTGTATATTATATCTACCAATTTTCAGATTAAAATTTAATCGGGAAGTCACTTATTTTTTTTAAAAAAATTGGGCAGTTTTTTGTACATATAATATGCAGTTTTTTTCAATAATTTAGTTAACTAACTTCCCGATAGAATTTTAAGTTGAAATTTGGTGGACATAACCTACACTTCATGGAAAACATGCTCACAAAAGTTCATGAAAAAATTTAACTCGGAAGCACTTCAAGTGAAAGAGGCCTAAAACTTGTAAGTTTTAGGCCTGCCTTAGGAGAACACTCCCCCACACACATATATATATATATATGTATATATATATATATATTCTAAAATAGTATTATTTTAACCATTATATAATCACAAATTCATTTATATTCACCATTAATATTTTAAATATGATTATTTTTAGTAACTTTTAAAAAAATGTTATAAAATACGAATTATATTCATAATGATATTTATTGTCGATGTTATTACAATGTCATACTTATTTTTCATTTTATTTCATTTTTTGAATAATTATTAAATAATTAATGAATGAGTTACAAAGGGAGGGTATATTAGACTTTTAAATAATAATATCAAAAAGCCCGTTGTGAAAAAACTATTCAGAATAGCTTTTTCATAACAAATAGCCAAATCAAAAATATATTTACCAAACATCTATAATAGTTGTTTGACAAGTCAAATAGCTAAATTCACTCTAAAAAATAAAAAAAATGACAGATAGACCATTTACCAAACACCCTCTTAATCGTTTATTACTCATATAAGGTTACATGCCACTTACATCATTCTGATTTAATTAATTTGCTTTCAGACTTCCAGAACAAATTATATCATGAGCATGATATATCGGTTCAATGAAGTGTGATTCTTTAATTAAAATAACTCAACAAATCTATATCTATATCTATATCTATATCTATATCTATATCTATATCTATATCTATATCTATATCTATATCTATATCTATATCTATATCTATATCTATATCTATATCTATATCTATATCTATATCTATATCTATATCTATATCTATATCTATATCTATATCTATATCTAGAGTGCTCTTCATGTAAGGCCGGCCTGACGGGCTGCCCCGTCCGGCCGAGCCCGTTTGGGCACCTTTCCGGTGGAATTTTTTGATGAATTTTTTTGATCATGTTCCTCGTCAAGTCTAGTTTGTCCATACCAAATTTCAGCTCAAAATTCGATCGGGAAGGTCGTCAAATGATTTTTGCAAGTTAACTGGTCCGGAAAATACATATTCCGGACCAGTTAACTTGAAAAAATCATTTGACGTTCAAAGTCTGATTTTATACGATGAAATAAATATTTGCATATTAACGTTCAAAGTGTTGCATCCGAAAAAAGTTTGATTTTATTACCAAGATGCAATTGTGCGTTTTCAGTCTTTAAATCAACTCAACAGATGGGCGAGATGACTTTGTAGATTGTAATTCAGGAGGAGTTTATATATGATCTCTTATCAATATTTATATATGTGTATATATTCGTCAAAATGTTCTGTATAAAATTAGGTAAAATTTTACACTCGTTGGTAGTATAAAATGCAAATACTCAAAAATAAAATTAATTAACGATTTTTACCTTTTTAGCCTCTCTTAAATATTTCTTTTCCCATAAACTTTTTGGAGATGCTCCATTATTTGGGGTTTTAATAAACTGTTTCTTATTTCTTTCCAAAATATGATAATTATTACATCCTGTCTCATTAATTTTCTCCAACATTTTCTTTTTCGTTGGTTCACTAAGTTTGTGTAGCTCCAAATATTATAATACATGTATAGCTCTAAATCATTCTTACATTATTGTCTCTACTTTTTCAATTCAACATTAGCTAGATAAACTCTTTTTAATAGCTACACATGTCTCGATCTTAACGGGAGAAATGTGAGATTACTTATCTATTTATTAATTCACAAGGTCTACCAAATCAATATCTAAATGTAGATTCACTTTTTTGTCTCATATTTATTTATACCTCATTCACAATTTATGCTTCACGTTGTCAAACGGGTTAGCACCCCCAAACCTTACCCAACCCGTGATAGATTATGCTTTTCATGGCTTGAATCGTCTACCTGCCTAATGGTGAGCCTTGTCTTCTAATATGTGGGTTTCAAATGCTACCACGCATATTAATGTAAAAAATATACATAGCAAAAGACCATAGAAATGATTACACTGAAATATACTATGTATATATAGGGTCCGATTCTAGTGGGAACACTTCTTTCCGTGATAAATGAGAATGATCTTAAATGATGCACATTATGCTTAATGGAGGTCCACACTTATAGTTAAAATGGACATATAAGGTTAAATTTATTTACAAATGTCACTGCGTTTTTTATTTATGGTAGCACATATTTCTGACATAATGCACAATTTTCAAATCTAACATTTCAGGTTCATTCTCAATTCTCTTCATGAATTGTGTTATCATTTGATCCAAATTATATACGAAGTATATATACATATAAGAAACTAAAATACTAAGCACACAATACTTGATAAGTTAATTTTAAAATATTAATAAGTCATTGTTATACTACAATTTGATAACTACTAAATGATATCTAACAAAAGCACTCATTGTATAAAATAAAGATTCAATTAGATCTTTTGAGTAAATATTTGTAAACAATGTTTATTAATTGTTAAAAAATTATTTTCAACTATAACCTAAAAAATATGCTAGAGTAATTTAATTTAATAATAATTATTGTAGAAATAAGAGTTTGTTGAGGTTTATTCCTTCAACCCCCGGGTCCAACACGTAAGCCCAAGGATTTCGAATGGAGTGCGTGTGAGTAAACTAGCCCAACAAGCAGATGATATGGATTAGAAAGAGCAAGAAAGTAGCAAGTAGGTGATTAGGTATTATTATCTCTTAATAACTCCCTAATACAATACTTTTCGCTAAGGCTCCGTCGGCCGTTCGTCTTACAAGGCAGTAGAAGCGCTGCGAGTAAGAATGCTATAGCTAGAGTGCTAAGAATAGAAAGTTGCCAACCCTTTACAATGAAATAAATGCTTCTATTTATACCCGCCAATGGGCAGGTGGCTATGCTGACGTGGAGGCCTGTGGACCGCTGGTGTCCCAACCACCAAATCTTCAGCATTAAATGCACTTCCCGCCAGAATCTAGGTTTCCCGCCTAAATTGTGGGGACGTTCGTCCGCCCGGTAAGCGCGCTGGATTGCCCCAAGTCGTCCGTTCGAGAGGCTTCGACTGTTCGTCCCCTGGCCCTGTGGATTGGATTCCCTTCGATAATTTTGGGCTTGCTCTGGGGACGTTCGTCGTCACCCCTGATGGCCCGTGGTCCTGCTCCTTGTCCCTGCACAGACGTTCGTCGCGATGGGCCTTTGAACCTGAACCCCCCCAATTCCAGACGTCCGTCCTTTCCCAAGGGACATGGGCCTGCGGCCAGCCTGATGTTCTAACTGGACGTGCGTCCGGTAAAAGGGGTTAATGGGCCGGACCTCGGCTTGGGCCATTAACCCAACACAAGTCCCCCACTTCTGATGTTCTGAGCATGCGCAGGACATAAGGAAGTAAAAACCCCCCTTGGAGGAGACGTTCGTATCTCGATACTTGTATTCATTGCATCCGGCGGAGGCGTACGCTCGTGGTCATGGTGTTTCCCAGCTGTCGACGGTTCAGGAAACGATGTGACGGCTGCTGAAGCGGCGGTGCATTTTCCGAGGAAATGTCATCATTACGCTTTCGCCCCACGCACAGCGCGTGAGCCGGAAAAACGCTCCTTGCCACGTGTCAGCCCCCCGTTGGTTCCCCCATCGGTGTTCCCCCTATAAATGCCGGGTTTTCCCTCTGGATTAGGGTTCCCAACTTCCGCTCTCCTGCTTTCGAATTTCCGCTGCTCTCCAGGTCTTCTCCCGCTTCCAAGTTCGGCTAATCCCTCTTTAAGGTAATTTTCACCCTCTGCTTCTTTTTCTTGTCTTGAACTCTCGCCGAGATGGTTTCGATGGAAATTTCGTCAAGTTCTGGTTCGGGTTCATCGGGTTCCTCCTCGGGCTCCTCCTCCGACTCCGGTTCACGTTCTTCGGGCGAAACTAGCACCTCCGGAAGTTCTGGCTCAGCCCCTACCGTGGGAACTGTTCAGGCCGGGGAGGCCCAAAATGTTGTTATTGCGACGGCCTCTGGTGAGGAGGGTGCTGTTTCGGGGGAGCAAGGGGATATGGCCCTTGATGTAGTGGACCCCGTGGTTGACGTTGGGGAGCAGGAGTCCGCTGGTGAGGACGATCGTCCAGATGGGTATGATTCTGGGGTCGAGGCCCAGGATGGCTCCGACATCGAAGTATTCGATCTTGGGCTAAAGATAGATGTGGAGAGGCATCTATGCCCGATC